TTTGGTACAACATCCGTTTTGCGTGGCCTGGACTCCCGGAATTCTGGTGCACAATCTTCAATTCTGGCGGAATTGTGCATGACTTGGTTTGGCTCAGGACTTGGATTTAGTGGCAGGGTCGACCCAGACAGCTTCCCGAACCCGAAACCTTGTGCCTCACGGCACCAAGGTGGACGAGCTTGCGAAGCTGCGCATGAACGGCTACCAGTGCAAGCCTCAAGGTATTGGCATACAATTAAGGTATTGGATCTGGAGATGAGCACGTCTGCATCCTGTGGTGAAGTTTCGGAGCAGTCCAGGTCGTGCTGAGGATAGATCTTCAGGGGCCAGGGGTGCAGCTGCCGGAGTTTGGGATCTGGAGTCCGCAGTCAGCCTGTGACCTGCAAACCCAAAACCGGAGCTCTGCCCCGCCCCGCCATGTTGAATCAGAAGGCGACGTTCAGGCTTTACTGGTGCATCAGCGCCATCTTCTTGAGAATCATCATCGCCATCATCACCTCTAGCACCAACAACATCAGTGTCATCCTCATCATCATCATCATCATCGCTGCGATCATCGTCTTCGTCACTACCACCGTCATGATTACAACAATGCTGCCACCTTCATGACCACAGTTCCAGCAACATCTGCGCAAGATAGATGGTATCAGAGTCACGATGCTAGAACTGGCGGTTACAAGACAAAGCATGATGACAGACTTTTTACAAAAAGGCATGTCGCGGGCAAGGTATTGGGAAGGCCGCCTGTTCAAGATTCAGATGAATTACTTGCTAAAGCCTTCATAATGTAGGGCACATATATCATACCGTTAAGGTTTCTCGGCTCAGCCTAGATCTATCACTCGGTGATAAGACGCTCTTGATGTTACTGGGCAGGAGACCCTGACTACAGTAGTCATGTTTTCTTCCTATCCGATGCAAGGCTCTTCATCTTCTGCCTCATGGTCCACTTCTGTGCCTCGGTCTCTCAAAGCAGGGCAGAGTGGTAGTCGTCGTCTTGGTGGTGAGCAGCAGAGGCAAGACTGCTCACCTACTCCTCCTCCTCCTCCTCCTACTACTACTACTGCTGCTGCTACTACTACTACTACTACTACTACTACTCCTCCTACTCCTACTCCTACTCCTACGCCTACTCCTACCTCCTACTACTACTACTACTACTACTACTACTCCTACTACTCCTACTACTCCTGCTACTGCTACTACTCCTCCTACTCCTAAACTCCTATACTCCTATACTCCGACGCCTATACGCCTACGCCTATACGCCTACGACGACGACTACTACTAAATTATTATTACTCCTATTCCTACTGCTACTGTTACTGCTATTCCTGCTCCTGCTCCCAGTACTGTTCGCACTAGTTTTTCCGGCATTTCTAGAAATGCTGCTAACGAAGACGATAGGTGGTAACACCACTACGACCTGACCTACTACTACGACGACGACTGCTATGATGACTCTGACGACGACTCCTGCTGCGGCAATTGCTACGACCACAATACCACCGAGACTGCATTCATGCGACTGGTATTCTGCCGGATGTGCAGTTTCGCTCTTCTAGATGCCTAGCTTCACAAGTCGTTTGTGCTGAGATTGCACTCCTCGTAGCCATGGGGCACTGGATTCCAAGGAGGTTCACAATTCCTTATTTCTATCGAAAACGCTCGTGCAGGCTTGAGCAGGCATATTGCGGAAGTTCTCGCATCCTCAAGCCAGATATGTCGGATCCAGGAGAAGGTCAAGCTACCTTGGAGCATCACAAGGCCCGAAGCGAGCTTGCGACATCACCCCCCTGACTCCAAAACTCCTCCCTTCCCTGGCCTTCTTCAGCCTTGAAAATTAGATTAAGCAACAGAGGCCCCAAAGCCCCCGCACGTCCAGCGCGACTCTTGAAGCTTGATGGTGGCCGAGGCTTCAGCTTGGTCGGAGTGGTCGTCTCGAATGCTGTGGGCTGAAAGCCGCGACTTCTGCTCTAGGGATTCAGTGTCCCAGACAATTTCAGAAGGTGTTCAGTTTAGCGCTGAGAAGTGGGGTGTTTGGAGCTGCGATTTTTTGTTGTGGTGTGACCACTGTAAGTCCCGGGGCATCTGATTTCAGAGCAGTCTAGGTTGTTTCTAGCAAAGGGACTTTGTGCATGTGACACAGGAGACCGCGTGCGCAGTGGCAAAAGCAGGTGGTGAGAGAAGGAGGTGTCGAGCAATAAGTTGTTTGTTTTCAGTGGCGTCAGCGCTACTGTAGTGATTCAACACGGAAAACGGCGAGCGATGCTGATGTGGGGCTCTGGCAAATGTAGGGAGACTGGTTTCGTGGGCAGGAAAACATGGCTGACCCTGCGAGTAACATGCCGGCATGACGCAAGTTGCAACAAGCTTGTGCTACCCACCGGACCTGACAGTAAGACCTGACTCCGAGATCTGTGTCATCCCCTTCAGCTGAACGCTTCATCCTTGGATTGCAGATGCGCAGTGCTGAACGCTCGCAGACGTCTGGCCCCCACTCAATAGGCTCCCATAAAACGTTCAAACACTGAACCATGGCCTACCAGGGCACTGCACCTTGGCTGCAAATTTCCTGCAGATTTGCCACCTACCGGTGGGTGCTTTGAGTTTCTCTTGGCATTTCCGACGCCCAGCAAAGCAGACAGCCCTTACGAAAACCTCAACCCTGAAGCCTTAAAAACCTGAAGCGTCAACACTTCCCAGCTCAATTTGCCGCATAACCAGCGATGCTCAGACCTGGCAGCAAAGCTTTGTAGAGATGTGTGAGTCCAAAAGCATTCAATCTCCTGCTGAGGGCTTTGTGTTGTGGTTCAGGGTGCTGGGTCGGAAATCTGGTGACAATGGTTCACAGCGGACCTATCCGGAGTGAACTTGAATGCCAGCCTCCCATGCTTGCCTGAGCTCGAGCCTGCGCAAATGCTTACTGCAGGTGAAGTCTTTCCGAGAGGACACGGCCGTGCACGCTTCGGTTCGGCTAACTCTAGTTATCTTTCTAAGCTGAGGTGGTTTTACCGGATACGTGTCGGCTTTCTTGCATTCCTATGGGGAGTCTGACCAGCTACCTCAGTTTCCCACAGACGAAGTAGAAGCAAGCTTACCGGCTACACCCATCCCTCTTCAACCCCTAACCTAAATCTAAACCCTAGCTAACCCTGATCATAGGAACTCTCATGTTAACCCTATCAGTCAGTGTTGCATCCTAAGCTGGAGCCAGAAAATGAAAGGCGATAGTTCTGGAGCTCAGGGAGCATGGAGGAACAGCCACCTTCTCAATTTTATGTGGGATCAAGAGCTCTTCGCTGTCGTGCTCCTATACTACTGTTTTAATTATCAAATCATTCTCGCAGACATCATCGCCGAATCATCACCATCGAGAATAAATCGAGCTACACCCCTACAACAACTCAACGACAGCAAGGAAGCAGATAGAGAATACATCATATAAGACATGATACTAAACATAATATAGCATATCATACAGTAAAATACGGTACGACATATACGAGATAGGACCTAGGACAATGATATCCGTTTTGCACGCCACGTTATCGCGCGTTGGTGCTTCCTGGCAGGAATGTTTCATGCGAAGCTACAAGTCCTAACTAATTGAATGCCGGAGGTCTCAAACTTGGACCCCAAATCCAGCGAATGTATCCGAAGGACAAGGGCTTCGGCTTCATCATAAGACCGGACTCCACCGAGATTTTTGTGCACGTCAAGGCATAGTTGGGTGGGCGGGGGATTGGTGCTGCTGATTGGGTGGTTCGGCACCGGGTTTGGAGTACGTTTCCTTTGCAGGTTTGCGCTTGAGTGATGCGGGCTCATCGTCCTCCATGCCTTCGACATTCCGGTTGATGTTTATTGTGTCCGCTCCGCAGTGTTTCACAATTGGTTGCAGTTGCTGCCAAGCTTTCCTTCGCCTAAGCCCACTTTGAGTGGCATTGGCTTGAGTGGTGTTGAGAACCGTGTGCTGCCGTTGCAAGCTGCTGTTGTATACACGGTACACCCGACGACTACTGCGAATCTCGTTATCGTTATTATTGTCGCATATGATCGCCATCATGATGACGATGACAAAGCGGACGAGGAGAGCCGGTCCCATGAAGGACATGAAGAAGTCAATGATGATGCGAGTTGATGCTGACTGTTGGTGACAATAGCCATGCTGACAATGATGGGCATGCTTACGCTTCATGTACATGGTCGAGATCCATTTTGCAGCTCGTACTGCAACCGTGGGTATTGCCTCATCTGCTTCACTCCCCGCCGCAAACCGCGAGCTCAGAAGCCAAGAAGCCACTTTGCAATCTTTACCTCCCCCGGGCGCTGCGGAGGCAATCATCGATGGTAGCATCCTCGTCAAGGTCTGGCCGCTGGCGTGCAGTTTGGGGTGTCCGAGCCCAAACGGAACTCCCCAAGCGATCTTATGCTACCACTTATAGCATCACTTAGCAACCCCTAAGCTCTCGACCTTAGTGCCGTAAGTGTAAGTCCCAGGTTTCGGGCTTATGCTCGAACTCGAGGCTCAGTAGTTGCAAGCATGACATCATGAGTCCTCTGGCTCGTATTCCGGGTGCATGCAAAGGGCTCTCGAGGTCAGATATAATCATTAGGCAGACAATCTCTGCGTAGACTCTACATAAAAATATGCCGTGGTGAGCAGTCTTTTGTGCTTTCTGATGCAGATGCATACGTACCTGCAGATGCACTGTGTGCATCCTCAGTTTGTGGGTTGCTTCATTTGTGCTTGATTGAAGCGTGGATCTTCCGCATGAAAGATGTCAGAAGAGCCATTCCTTCTTGTGTCAAGTGCAATTAACAAGCTAGATGCAGCTAGATCAGACTGGGCTAAACTCCAAAACCCCCTCTTTCTCAAAAGCGCTATGCTTTGCAAGTTCTTTTTTTCTGAATTGGGGTGCTAGGTCAGTAGCTGCAAGCTTACTGCTTGTAGCTCGTGCAAAACAGCTCCCATACAGGATGACATCGTGCAGTTCGACATGGAAGAGAGCAAGGTGAAGCCAGGCCCTCCGAGTTTAGGGTTTCGCGTTTTCGTTTTGGGTTTAGGGTTAAGGGTTTGGGGTTTAGAATAGCTTGGAAAGACCCCTTGGTCATTCGAAGTTCAATGTCGACGACGAGCATCCTTTCTTTGGAAACAAGCTCATATTTGGACTCACTGCTGTTGTTCTGTTACCCATGCAAGCGGTGTGGTCATGATTCCTGCTACTGTTAATTATGGTTTTGTTGGTGCTTTTCTGTGCTAGGCTAAGTTATCGAATTGCCAGGGCCCTTCAGCTGTGCTTTGGGAGCAGTTTCCAGCAGGCCCTCACACCCTTCATCCACCCACAAAAATCGCCTTTTTGAAGATGGTGTTGGTGTTCAGGGTTTAGGGTTTTGGGGTCTTCTGCAAAAAAACCTTACACAAAAAGGATGGTGTTTGAGGGTTTAGGGTTTTGGGGTCGTCTGCTCTGCGCAGCTTTGTCGAAGGTTCATGTGTGCCTCGAGAAGAGGGCCGATAAAGCAGCCAACACAAGTAACACATGGGTAGTTCTCTAAATTCGGGTGCCTTTTGGGGGTCCCTTTTTCTAAGGGTGCCGTAGTATACTGGGGACGTAGAATCAGAAAGGGGCCCTAATTTAGACAACTACCCACATCCGAGTCAAAGATCTGCACCCGTCGGTGCATGTTCGAGGACAGATGCAGGCCATCAATGTCAGCGGCGGCACCGGCCAGCCAGGAGAGTGTTCAGGGACACGGGCTTCGGGGAAGAAGCTGAAACCCAAGCCCCGAACCGCATTCGGAGTCGTTGGCTCGTACAGGGCTTGTCAGGGTCTTTCCTGCGACATGTGTCAGGAGGCGGCAAAGGAAGCGGCGACTTGGCCGGAAGGTGGCAGAACTGGTACGAACTGGTGTTTGCTACTTTGTGTAAGTGCCTCTCGCTGACTTGCCCATGGAGGTGCTGCCTTTTGCTGGTACCGGTGCTGGTAGTGGTCGTGGCGGTAGGGCAGCAAGATGGACGAAGAGCAAAAATAACAATGCATCGTCAGTAGCAGATTCCATGCGGCTAGGGATTTTGTGCAGGGTTCAGGACAGATGCCTCTTGAAGTCTCGCCAGGGCACCAAGTGGAGTAAGGCATAGCAAAGGGGCCGAAACCCTAAACCCTAAACTGTCCCTAAACCCTAAACTCTAACCCAACACCCCTTAGCCTGACAAGCTTTCTACAGCCTTCCTGTGCCCCGTCCCTTTGAGGAAAGCCGGGATCTAGCCAGGGAACGGTCAAGAATTTCCGAGAAGACAAGGCAGGGCGAATTGGGGTTAAGGGTTTATGGGGGCCTCCAAGGCGGCTTCAGGACTTTAGGGGTCTAGGGGTTTGGAGGGGTTTTGAAGTTTCGGGTTTAAGGCCTTGGGGGATTTGGGGTGCATGGTGCTTGGGGGTTGAATGTCCGCAGCATCTCGACAAAATGGAAGATGCTTGCTAGGCTGGAATGCAGGACTCCATTCAAACACGACACTGACCGCTGACCTGTGCCATAGAGCTTAGGCTTAGATGTGTGAATGATTCAGCCTCTTTTTCAGGGAATTCCTCATTCTACGAAAAGCACGCTTCCTTGAGGCTCCTTGTTAGAGTTATATTGGGTTAGATTCAGATACACCGAAACCCTGTCGAATCGAAAAGGCCCGGTACTATGCACTTTACATAGGGTCATAATGCCCCCAAAACCCAAACCGATAAACCCTAAGCCTTAAATCCCCGAGTGATAATACCGATACCCCATTAAAAGGGATTCGACGTCTCCTTCAGAGTTTCAGTGCTCGGCGGTTGGATCCCTGGATCCCTCTATGCCCGAGGAGCTGCAAGAAGCAATCGATTGGGGTAGTGCTCATGAAAAGTATAGCCTGATGTCCCTACTATAACTACAGTCTTATTCTAAAATATTCAAGGCTGTCATATTAGTTAGAACAGGAAGAGGAGAGCATGCAGTGGAAATGCACCGCAATGCGGAGCACGCGAGAGCCGATTACGCATGCCGTTCGCACCCACGCGTATTCCGACCACATACAGTCCCCTAAACCCTAAACGCCGCAAGCCCTAAGCCCCTTAAGCCCTAAACCTTAAGCCCTAAACCGTGAGGAAGCTCTGTTGATGAGTGATCTTGGGAGTTTGAAGATTACCGGCAAGGCATAGCTCGGAAACTCCGAAGCCCCCAAAGCCTTGCCCCAAGGCCTTGAAGCCTCTTAATTCCTGCGAGGGCTTGGGGTTTAGGGTGTAGGGTAGGGGTTTAGGGGTTTAGGGTTTGAAGCATTACGGCTGATGCATTTACGGTGGAGCCAGTATTAGCAGCAGCTACTGTTTTTGGCCCCAAGACGCCCTTGGATCAGGGCTTCGGTTTTATCACGCTTTCGGACGGCTCCGACCTCTTCATGCACATCAAGGTGGGCATAGCAGCACACCACGAAGAAATGCTTCTTCTTGCTGTCATTGAAATGATCACCACAAACAGTCTTCTTAGGATTCTTGCTGTACTACTACCCCTGCTACTTTGCTTGTAAGCCTCCTTTGCTCCCTGCTCTCAGGTCTGTGCAGAGGCTTTAGGTTCAGGGAGAGATCCTTCGCAAGGGACCCTTACATGAGGGATCTTGGAATCTCTGGGCAACCTCAGACTGGTGGAACTAAGGGAACTTCTGACAGTCAGTGGATCGCCAAAAGATAATGGGTAAGTTGCTGCACAGCACCCCCCCCCCCCCTCGGACTCTCGGAGTGCGGCTTTCTTGCGCCAAGCTCCGAGGCGCGCTGTGACATGAGTTTCCCTATCAGAAGATCACCCGAGGTTTTGGCTCTGTTAGGCGCAGGCAAGCCAGCTTCTGGTCAAAGCCGCCCGAGGATGTCGCGCTCACAGTTTCTTGTGCTTGCTGTCTTGGCCGCGCCGGGGATGGCCATCGACAATGGGCTTGGCCGAACTCCACCAATGGGCTGGAGGTCTTGGAACTTGTTTGGGAACAACACGAATCAGACATTCCTGCAAGCAATCATGGACGGGATGGTCTCCAAGAAGCGCTCCGTGGATGGAATTCCGACATCTCTCTGTGACTTAGGATACTGCAATGTTGGCCTTGACGAAGGCTGGGAAGACTGCATGGGAGGACACCAATTCCACTACCATGACGACTCAGGCAAGCCGCTCGTGTGGCTGGCACGTTTTCCCAACATCACATCCATGACGGAGCATGCCCATCGGCTTGGCTTGACAGCTGGCTGGTACCTCAACGGCTGCACGTGCCCGGAGAAAGAAGTCATCGACTCCATGTACGACAAAGATGTTGCTGCGCTAGTGGCATTCGGTTTTGACGCAGTCAAGCTGGATAATTGCGGGGCACAGCACGACCTCGACAAGTGGGCCGGTCTCATCAACAAAACTGGACGGAAGGTGATGATTGAGAACTGCCACTGGGGCAAGACGGTGCCAACGGAGACCTGGTGCCCTTGGAACTTCTTCAGGACGTCGGGGGATGTACGGGCCTCCTACGGGAGCGTGGTCGCCAATCTTCAGACGACAGTGCAATGGGCACAGAGAAACCTTTCAAAGCCGGGATGTTGGGCCTACCCAGACATGTTGGAGGCAGTTCCAAATCTTGGCCCTCTTTTAGCTAAAGTTATCCGTAAGAGCAATGTGGTGTAGTTCGGCTTGTAAGAGGGGCGATATCCCGGCTGCAGGTGGGCTGCAATCATGGCCCTGGCGGAGACCGCGATCCGGGCTTGAGCTACCCGGAGGCGCGGAGCCACTTCAGCGCCTGGTCCATCGTATCCTCGCCGCTCACGTTGTCCATGGATATCAACGATGACGATGTCATGAATGCGGTGTGGGGCATCGTGTCCAACAAAGAGGTCATCGCTGTGAACCAAGCGTATGCGGGTCATAGCGGGAGTCCTTTCAAGCAGTCTGCCTCTCAAGTCACACTCAAAGATGACGGCCACTATGTAACGGTTCCCACATGGCAGTTCTTCTACAAGCCCCTGGGTGGCAGCCGGACAGCGGTGCTTCTCATGAACCATGATCGGACCTCGCACGACTTGGTGCTCAACTTCAAAGACGTTCCTGGGCTGGCATGCCAGAAATGCACGGTGCGGTGTCTCTACGGGCACAGAGACTTGGGAGAGCACGAGCACAGCTTCACTGCCCAAGCTGTACAGTCTCATGACTCGCGAATGTTTATCCTGATGCCTGCACAAGCACAGGCCGTCGTCGTATAGACCCTTAGACAAGCGAGACTACTGGTCTCCCGAAGGCTGCAACCTTTGGAGATGAGTGCGATTGGCCCTCGTCCGAGTTGCGAGCACAAATCGAAATGAAGCGTCGCAGCTGCTTTGCGACAGCGACAACTCTCGGAGTCAGTGTCCCCAGGTAGGTAGGTAGGTAGGTAGGTAGGTAGGTAGGCAGGCAGGTAGGTAGGTAGGTAGGCAGACAGGCAGGTAGGCAGGTAGGCAGAGACACCTCAACAGAGTTCGGACCTCAAGCAGGAAGGCCTTAGTCAAAGCTGTTCGAAAAAATGAAACAAAACAACATTATGTTCCTTCAAAAACGATGCCTAAGCCCAAAGCCCAAGCGCTGAATTCCGCCCCTTGCTGCCAAGTCCGTGGTGGATGGGAGCATTCCCCAGCAAGGGGATGTGGTCCGCTTCGACGTTGAGGTGGGGACTTCAAGGATGCCCTTCTTCAGCTACGGACAACAAGACAACAGCAAAGATTTAGCAGATCCTACTATTTAGGGTTCTATATTAGGGTCCCCTATTTTCGGGAACCCCCATATTAAGTGAGTGTGGAGCTTTTCCAGGTGCTCCGGTTGGTGAAACCTTTGTTTTGTCGACTGGGCTAGTCCTGGCTGAGGCTGAGGATACGGATCATGTAGCGGTATCGAGCGGCGGCAATAGAACAACACCAACATGGCTAGTATCTACACATCTCGGCATCGTCGCCGGCGAAATAACAAAACCAGTCAATACGGTTGATGATAGAAATCCTGCATGACCCCTAATTAGGAATATACCATATCATAATTCCCATAGTTTAGAGTCCTTAAGGTAATGCAGGATTTCTATCATCGTAGTTCCAGTGGAAAGCGAAGCATTGGCCCGACGCCTGAGGAGAAGGTGGTGTTGCTTTGCTGTTTTTGTGGGCTCAGGCATTTGGGATCAACGGTTTGTTGCTGACGCATGCTAGCACGGCTATCATGAGGGAGGAGCTGGGCCACCAATCACTGAAATGCTCGTTCAGCCCTGAACCAAAAGCAGTATGCTTGACAAGTCATTCTAAGATATGTCATTCGAAAGCCCGAGATGGTCAGCGAAACTGTTCACTCTGCGAAGAACCCCAAACCCTCCGTGACCGGCTCCAGCAGTTGGGATCTTAAGTTCTTTGCTCCGACCCAAGTGGAAATCTCACTTCCTGGCACTTTTGCAGCTTTTTGCCGCAGGAGAACCGGCTGAAACCCGGCCAGATGCAAGCCTGCAATGTGTCGCCAGCCCGCACCGTAGCCATCCTTCGGGTGACTGAGAAGCTTCGACTGCTTCGATAAAGCTGCTGCCCGAATGGTAATGTAGAGGCCTAAATAATCCTTAACAATTACCTATACTATTTTGGGGGTTCCTTTTTACAATTACAGTGACAGTGTAATATACCGTCTACCCCAAAACCCTATTCTAACTAGTAAGACGCCTATACTAGCCTCCGAGCCGGCTATGAGCTTGGGCTCCTCTGCCTCGCAAGTTGTGAAGCTCCACACACCCGGTCTAGGGTTCAGGGGTGTAGGGTTTAGGGCCCAGGGTTTAAGGGTTTAGGGTTTAGGGTGCTTTCCCAGTTCCTTCGAACCTGTTTGGGCATAGGGCCCTGCACAAGAGGTCCAGGAAGGGAGGGCTGCATTCACGGATTTGCCGATTTGGGTGCCTGATCGGATCCAGGCTTTTGAGAGCTTTCAGGCGGGTTCAGGGTTAAAGGGCATAGTGAGAAGACATTGACATAGGAGGCCCGCTTGGACAAGGCGACTGCGAGCTAATCAGGCGTTTTGGAGGTCCCGGAAAAGTAGAAACTGATCCAAGGTCTGGCGGCAGTGGCCAGAAAGGCGTGGGCAAAGGTGGTTTCGGCCACTTTGAAGTTATATCAGCCTTTGACTTTGCCTATCAGGAGGATTTATAGATGATGTGCTAGTGTCAACATGCGCAGTCATCGCAACAACAACGTTGATACCAATAGCGACAGGTAAGAGTAGCACGAATTGTCGCACTACGAATACCAACAGCCACAATCAATGTCATCGTATCGTAGTAATGACAGCAAGAGCGGCACAATCAGAGCCAAAGCGGTAGAGAGCAAGTTCCTGATCTTCTTAGTCTGATCCTGAAGCGAGGAACCATGCACCTCCAAGTTTAGGATTTTGGGCTTAACTTGCGAAGAGGGGGAGGCTTCGGGAAAAAGTCTTCATGCCGAGGCAAGTACGGTGGAGGCGGCGGAAAGGGCGGCCAGGGTGCCTTTAACCCATATGGCATGGGCGACTCGGTGAATCGGGTTCCGAAGTTTGACTTGACGACTCTGAGATTCCAGGGTTTACGTAGGCTTTAGGGTTGTTTGGGGTGTAGAATTGTGGATTGTAGAATTGCTGACTGATCTGCACCGCTACATAGAAGTCCGGTGCCTGAGTCACAGAGCGTGGGAACGCAGCGTGGGAACCCCGTGCAGCAACTCTGCTCCGTTAAAGCCATCACCGACAGAAGTGATCCGCGAGTCGAAGTTGAAGCCTACACTAGAGCCGTTTATGAGCGTTCAGGGTTTCGTGGACTGTTTGTTTGGTTATGCGCAGGGTAGTGAAATGAAGCACGGCCTCGTAATGTCGTTTGTTAACGGCCCTATTTACAATATTAGGACAGAAAGAAAACTGTACTTTTTGTTGTGTTGCAAGTAAATTCATGAAGAAAAATGGGCGCTGACGGAAGCCAGATAAGTGGATGCCATTCTCACAGTTTGGACATTTCTACAGACAAGCTCAACTCTACCAGGATCTAATGGCAAGTATGAGCTTCCTTTCCCTGAGGTTTGTCGGGGAAGCATCCTTCACCGAACATTCGTGCCTGAACGGTATTCCGAGGCCAAATGAACCCCATGGGCATGTACGGCATGGGCGGCGGCCGCTTGACCTGAGCCAGCATGTCAGCGGTTTAGAGTTTAGGGTTCAGGAACAATATATCTGACCACGTCGTTTTCATGATCTTGACGCAGTATGTCATGCGGGGTCGTGTAGCATGACTGCATCTTCTCTCCATATGAGTCTGGAGCTACAGTCAGCTTTCATCTCTGATGCGTCCGGCACAAGTGATTTCATGATACTTCAGCAGCATCTGAGCCAGGCTCAAGAACCTGGAAGACAACCCCGACCCCTCAAGCCTTCCACCCTGAACCATTGACTTTTGTCCAGGTATGGGGGGAATGGGCCCCATGGGCATGATGCCCATGGGAATGATGGGTATGCAAGGCATGGGCACCTTGGCACAAGGTTTAGAGGTCTGGAGCTGAGGGCTTGGGGTTTAGGGTTGAAGGGTTCAGGGTAGAGGGTTCAAGGGTTCAGGGTTTCAGGATTTAGGGTAGAGGGTTTAAGGGTTTATGGGTTTAAGGGTTCAGGGTTTAAGGGCTTAAGGGTTTAGGCTAAGCGTTCAGGGTTTAGGGTAGAGTGCTTGAGAATCCAAGCCGTTCTCCTAGAGTACTTTCCTCCATAACATGGGTGTTGATGTACGCAAAGACCTAAGCGCATATCAGCACAAATGCACATGACCACATACACTTAGAGTTTAGGGTTTAGGGGTTGTGCTGACCCATAGCATACCGCACCACGACATGCGCACGGTACCATGCAGTTGCCCTGCAGTACAATGCCCTACTCCACCGCGCCGTGCCGTGAGGTGCATACATAGATACATCTATGCATCCATCCTATCCATCCGATCCCATCCATCCATCCATCCATCCATCCATCCATCCATCCATCCATGGTCCATGCATGCACGCATACTTGTATGCATACGTGGATACATTTACACGTATAGGCTATAGACACCACTGCATGCCGGCATGTTGTATGCCATTCTGCTGTGTTGTTGGACACTTGCTTGATGGCCATGGGCACGGATGCCAAGCCCAGAACCAAACAGTTCGCGCTTCTCACAGTGCAACAACCCTAAACCCTTAAACCCCTAAACCCTGAAGCCCATATCTGACATTCGGCACCCTGAATTGGTTCAGAGTGAATAAGTGCTCTTCTGAGCATGGGACTTGTATAGGCATCCGAAATATTTCAGTTCTAGCCGGGGTCGTGTTGATGTAGTCGACGCCCAGTCGGTAATCCAGTAGCATAAGGTGGAGGGTTTAGGGTTTAGAGTTTAGAGTTTAGGGTTTAGGGTTTCAGGGGGGACATTGGTATCGTTTGGTTTCTCTTTATGTCCTATACCATCAGGCTTTCGGTCAAGAAAACACCCCTTGGGCCCTTGGAGCCTTTCTACCTAGGTGGAGACCCCATGCAGCAGTATGGCGGTCAGCAGCAGTGTATGGGCGGCGGCGGCATGCAAGGGGGCATGGGCGGCGGAATGTATTGATCTTGCGTAAAACGCCGTTGCGTGCCGTCCTGTTTCCACAACATCACAAGTCCTAGCTGTGACGCCCTGAAACTCAGACCCTGCACGTATCTGACAGACTGCCCGATGGGTTCCACCTGTTCTCCAGAATAGAGTCCATGAACTTGTTCTTGAGGATGTAGTTGCTAGCTTCAGCAACTACTCACCCCGAAATGCTAGGACCCCCCGGTCCCATGTAGCGCTGGTCAGAAGTTTTGGAACACTGAGTCGGGCGAGTTTTCGGCTTTCGCCTATGTCCACCCTGCCGCGTTTCAAAAGTAGCGGCCGTCAGTTCAGATTACTCAGCCTGCTGGAGGCACTGTAGAGAAAGCACTGGGGTTTAGAGTTCAATTAATGGTTTAGGGTTTAGGTGTCATAGTACGGTTTTGGGTTTAGCTGTCAATGCAGTTGGCGATTACAAAGACTTCCACTACCGTGCCGCCAGTAGAAACACCCCTTCGACCCAAAAAGAAGACGAGTAATGGAAGCCTTTTGGACAACAAAATGAAGTAAGCAACAACGATTCTTGGGACGAGACTTCAGATTTGTGTCTGGGAGCAGAGGAATATTGAAACCGGTAGAGTTGATATAAGGGTCACGAACAGGAAGCAGGAATAAGAGGAAGCTGCGCGTACTGCTTGCTGGTTGGAGCTTCAGGGCATCAGCTCAGGTTAAGTTTGCAGTAAGAGCAGTACGAACAGTAGTGGTTGCCAGTTGTCGTCGTCGTGGCAGGAGTGGGAGTAGGAGTCGTAGTCGTAGTCGTAGTGCTCGCACTGGTACTCGTACTCGTACTAGTGCTAGTAGTACAAGTAGGCCAAGAAGTACTTCGTAGTACTGGACTAGTAGCACTAGTCACACTAGTTGTATCAGTTGTGCTAGTAGTACTGGTAGTACTAGTAGTACCAGTAGTACCAGTAGTGCTAGTAGGATTAGTCGTAGCAGTAGCAGTAGCAGTAGCAGTAGTAGTAGTAGTAGTAGTAGTAGTAGTAGAAGTAGAAGTAGAAGTAGTAGTAGTACCAGCAGTAGTAGTAGTAGTAGTAGTAGTAGTAGTACTAGTACTAGTACTAGTACTAGTACTAGTACTAGTACTAGTACTAGTAGGATTAGTCGTAGCAGTAGCAGTAGTAGTAGTAGTAGTAGTTGTTGTTGTTGTTGTAGTTGTAGTTGTTGTTGTTGTTGGTGTTGGTGTTGGTGTTGGTGTTGGTGTTGGTGTTGGTGTTGTTGTTGTTGTTGTTGTTTTTGTTTTTGTTGTGGTAGAGGTAGTGCGACAACGGTGTTAGTGCTCGAACTTGCAGAAAGTGGCCCGAGAGGTCGAAGGGGCTCGTATGGCCGTAAGGAAAGGCAGCTGGCTCGTGCGCCTGGAGCATGGTTCCGGCTGATGGCACCCTTGATGGGGCGTTTCGCATACATATGTTGATTTGAGACTAGTGGGGCAGGGATACGGTATAAGGATACAGATTTTGCTGAAACATAACAAGCTCGACGCTGGCCTTCTGACAAGTTGTAGCACCTATGGAAGGATGTAGGCATGTCAGACGGGATGAGACACTATCTCGCTGGTTCTTGAAAGATGGGGATTTAATGCTTCATCCCGCTTGAACACTCGCGATCTTCTAGAAGCTCAGATGACAATCCTGGCGGTTCGGGTTGGAAAGTGCTGGAAAGTCTAATAAAACTGTCGAGCAGGGCATTGCCCAACCTCTCCAGGCAAGGCTGTGTCCTGCTGTACAGGAATGATCTCACGCCGCATTGGGAAAGGCAAGTGGAGCAAGCAGGACTATCATAAGGTCGCAAGCATACTGATAGTGCTGGTTGAACGGATCAGAGTTTGACGGCTTCCACCAGGACGATAATAACGATAGCGAGGATGGTGGTGATGATGACTGCAGTGGCGATTGTGCCAAACTCAGGCTAACATGAAACCTGGATGATGAATGTGGTGATCACGATGAGAATTGGGGAGATATCAAGAGAAGCCGGTGATGATATTGATCCTTTACGGTTGATGCTGCTGGTGATGATGATGGTTTCGGTGCGGTTGTTGATGAGAACGGTTTGATGCTGTTGATAAAGGTGGTGGTGCTGATTATGTTCTTGATGGTGATGGTGATGAATGGTAGTAATTATGCTGCTGACTTTGATGGTGGCTACAACGATGGCCTGATTCTGATAATGGCCATGCCGAAGACTGCTGATGTTTGCACTTAGTGCCTTCACTGGGCATCACCATTCCCTGCTGTTGAGCATACGTCTATGGCAGTTGTCGTTGTGGTGGTGATTTTTCGTGGTGCTGGTGGCCGTCGCGGTGTTGGTGTCGTTTTTGTTGTTGCTGCTGTTGCTGCTACTGCTTTTGGAGTAGACGAATATTGACGAAGTAGTACTTCGGGATCAGCGTCCGGAAGTTTGCCGTCCCCAAATACGAGATTCGAACGCGGCTCGCTCTGCTTGCTTAGCAGAAAACGTTCTCAATACCATTGGAAGCTAAATGACTCCAGACGTCTCCCAAGACTCGGGGAGTTCATTATTTCATTCATCATTGCTTTGGGGTCTTTCCAGGGCGGCGTAGGAGATTCGTTTGCACTATACGGCCGAGGTTATGCTTGAGCCAGTAGAAGTACAGAGATAAAGCGGAGGCCTGAAGGATGCAGTTCCCTTCACATGTCTGACAGATGAGGTCACGCTACAATTTATCACAGAATCTCACTCTATACTATAATCATTCTTTCGGCAGGTAGGTAGGGTAAGCGCTCAACGCTGTAGATGTGAGGTTTCTCTCTTTGTTCCGCGGCGGGTCTTGAATACCAGTGTCCTCCGGTTTCGTGAGTTAGGGTTTCGGTGCTTCCCATGCCGCGTGGGATTCTTGCGTGTGTAACGTGTCCGGCGGGGCTTAGGTCTCTTGGGTTGGGATTCAGACAGGCGAGTATACAACAGCTGCTCCATCGGGAGAAGTTTTGAGCGCCGAAGTCTTCCATGGTCTATCAATGTGTGAAAGATGGCCGCTCTCCGTGACAAAAGGCAGGCCAAATTCCATAATGTCCTAGACCCTCGAGCCCTCAGGCACTCTTGAGATTGCTTGCATTGACTAGGTGGTGTCTGCAAACGGAAACAGGGAGAGCTCTTCTGACAACTGCAGCTTCAGCTATTTCGTCTTTGACGAGCCTTTCAGCCAAGCCCTAAGTCCTCCCCACTTCGCTTGGCTCCGGGCCTCACCCACTATCCCTGAATCCCAAATCTTAAGCCATAAGTTCCAGAAGTAGACCATAAGCATAATCACCAGACCGTGTGCCCTCAAACTTCCGACATCTGCAGCTTGGCCCGTAGATCTGCTGGCCACCATCCTTGCCGGTCCTCAGTGATGTTCGGCTTCGGTGGTGGTGAGGACCCTGCAACATAAATGCACAACTCTGGCAGCTACAGCCTTTTCGCATAGTTCGGCATCGGTGCAAGCAATCATAAGATTGCACCTGGGCCTAAACCAGCTGTTGTCATGCGTGTGCTGGTAGTGTCAGTGTTGTTCTTGGCAGATTGTTTCACGTGGCCTCTCAGTGGCGTATACATTGCGTGCATCCTGATGTGCAGTAGTAACTAGTTGTAGTCATTGTCGTCGGTGGTGTTCGTCGCGGTGTCGGCGCAGGCAGGGACGGCGGAGGTCGTCGTTGTCGTCGTATTTGTTGTAGTAGCAGCCGCAGCAGTAGTACCGGTGGTGGGAGGAACGTCGCGTATGTTTGCTTGGGATTTGAAGGGCGTGCAGACATTCGCCAGGCCTGAACCTCGAAGAAGTCTCGAGTTCTCAAAACCCCAATGCCTTTCACTTTCCATTTCCCGATCCCAACCCGTAACCAAGACCCTAGACTCCAAAGACTCCGGCGAAGCAGCGCAACTCGAAGCCCGAAATCCGGTTTTTCTTTGCCGAGTTCTCGAGGATGTGGAGCATACGAGTGGCCTACAGCGTGCACTGAGCAGTACCTGGACATCGCACTGGTTCAAGAGCTGCAGGGTGTTGGGTTTAGGTTCGAGATGATTCTGGATGTCATCCGAAGTTCTCAACCTGCAACGGTGCTTAGGTTGATTGAAGTAAGCCGTAGCAGTAGGCAGTGCTAGTAGTCCCATCATCGTAGCAACTGCAGAGGCCAAGACGGAGATTGGGTACTTGGCCCTGTGCCGTGTTAGGGTGGCCGGCCTATGAGAGCCTTCCATGCCAACGTTCCTAAAAGCCAGGTTCAATCCAGTGCTAGTAGCAGCCGAAGTCGTCGTAGTCGTGTTCCTGGTTGCTGTTTCCGTTGCTGCTGTCGGTTGGTAGAGTAGCAGTAGCAGTAGCAGTAGCAGTAGCAGTAGCAGTAGCAGTAGCAGTAGCAGTAGCAGTAGCAGTAGCAGTAGCAGTAGTAGTAGTAGTAGTAGTAGTAGTAGTAGTAACTCATAGTAGTAGTAGTAGTAGTAGTAGGAGTAGTAGTAGTAGTAGCAGTAGTAGTAGTGGTACTATGCCTAGTATTAGTACTCGTAGCAGCAAGGCTAGTAGTACCGCTGCTAATTGAGTCCTGCCAGCACAAGAAGAGGTCAACACGAAAGCATCCGAAGGCGTGCTTTGTGCTGTTTGCGGCTTTCCGATCGTTCTGCTGCCTGGCAAGCAGGTAGGACAGGTCGCATGGCGTGTTTCCGAGTCTCAGTTTCTCTCCTTTGTCACGTTTTCGGATTCACTGTGGGCTTTCGAGTTCAGGGTCAAGCACTCAGGGATTGCAGCGGTTCAGACTTACACCTGCAGAGTTGTCCTCAGATTGACGTACCACGTATCAGACGCTGACTTTCTGAATGCCCCTCGCTTGTTCCTGAAGGATGGGGATCAGGGAATTTGAATAAGAAATACACTGATGAAAATGATAAATAGCAGTCATGTTCTTCAAGAATACTGAGTAGTCGCCGTGTGAATGATGCGTCTGAGCTAGTCGCCAGTCATTCACTGCTACTAGCCCACCGACGAAATCACAGCCGGCAGTCTTGTGTCTTGCTGTGTTCCAGAGGCCCTGACTCCTATGGCCTTTGGGTTCGTTCATATACATTTGTATTTACTGGATTATTTATTTGTCTATATTTACCTTTGTTTATACACAATGCATATACTGTATATGCTCTATGTAGATAGGTATATATATATACACACACTTTAGATCATGCATAATACCTGTCTATCTGTCTATCTATCTGTCTATCTATCTGTCGATGTAGTTGTCGATCTGTCTATCCATCTATTTATCTGTCTGTCTATCTATAACTTGTGTATATATATATCATGTATACAAATATNNATATTTGTATACATGATATATATATATATACATGTGTGTGTATGTACTCTATATATATGTACAATATATATATATATGTGTGTGTGTATGTATTTACCTATGTGTGTGTGTATGTATTTACCTATGTATGTATGTATGTATGTATGTATGTATGTATGTATGTAATATATATATATGCATGCATGCATGCACAAATATGTACATATATATGTACATATATATGTACATATATACTACTCTGTATATATATACACACACATATATACATATATATATATATACTCATGGCCTTGCACTCTGGGTTCATGGGTGTTCAAGACGTTTCAGGGCTTCAGCCTCGGATCTTGGGTTCAAGGGCTTCGGGTTCCGAAGCCCCCTAAACCCCAAACCGGCAAGGCAGAAATCCTAAACCCTAAGCCCTGTAAAATGATTACCAGTACATGAGACCTCGGCCTAGGATTGGTGGCTGCATTTTGCTGGGTTGGAATGAGAAGCGGGATGTCTGCGAACAGGCGGCCATACTGCCCCCTAGCTGAAAGTCCCGTGGTCGGTTTCTATGTAAGAATTTTGGCAGTTTGGTTTAAAGGGGCCGAAAGGGACTCAGGGCTGCTGTCGGGCGAGAGGCTTGAAGGTGTTGGGCTCTGAACCTAAGTTCGCAATGGATCGCACGAGACGCCGGGACTGGCAGTAAGGAACGGAAGTGTACCTGCCGCTTGTAAACTTGTGGGTTCCTTGGCGCAATGGAGATCCCGAATCAGATGGTGATGAGCCTGATTAAACCCTCTTACTGAAAGGTCTGGTCAGGATGCCTACAAGCAAGTCGGCTGCACCGACGCAACGCAGGAAGCAGGCAGGGCTCAGGGTTCCAGGGATTGGTCAATCATGGAAGCAGCTGCTACTACTGCTACGCCAGCTCTTGCTACTACTGCTGCTACGACGACGACAACGACGATAACTACGACTAATGCCTAGGTCCTAGGTCTGCGACTACTGCAGCGACGGCTGCAACCATTTAGATATTGCTTGCTTCTGCATGTTGCTGTCTGCAGCTCTCCTTATTCAGACGCTGTTTGCTACATTTGTGCGCTGCTTCCACTTGTAGACTAGACTATAGTAGAGCGAACTATTTCAGGCTTGAGCACATCGCCGAGAGATGATTGATGGTCCTCTTGCCGTGTTTCCGTGGAAAGGACAATCTCGAAAATGCGGTCTACCCAATAATCAAAGGGCCGTGTAGTAGGATTCGCAGCATAAGGGTCCCCTAATCTTCAGACAGCCTCACCGCTATCTGACTCTCAACGACGGAAGTGCCCTCGTCTGACTATCAGCTTCGGACTGAACACCTGAAGGGTTCTACCATTCTCGGAGTTCCGGTGGACTATTGCCGAGGGACTGTTGTTCTATGAGTTGAGGAGTGTGGCAGAGAGGGAGACACAACCCTCCGCTCAATGTCCGACCTCGCCAGGCAACCTCGTCTTCTTCACCTGCCTCTCGGCTTTGTGGAAGACCTGTGAACACACCGGTGCCGTTGTTGAGACGATTCCAGAAACCGGTGACGACCTCCTCACTTACTATACTGGTGGATTGGGCCACAGGACTGTCAGGATTTGGCACGAAATCGTTTAGGTTGGGACTTGTATTTCGCATGATTGACTAACAGGCTCATCAAAGTTGGGAAGGCTTCGAAGACTCTTGCAGTTGAAGTTATGACGGCACGTGCATCGTCCCGCGAGCGCAACTTCAAGGGATGCCGATGCAACTATATGCTACAATGCCAGCTCTGCCTATTTCGGAAAGCGCCTTACATCCGAAGACATTGTTGGTATAAATTCTGAAGTCCCGTAGACTTGAATGCCCCTAGGATTGCACACTGCGTTTGCAACCCCCCGCAAGTCATGAGATCGCTTTGCAGATCAGCAGGTCATCCTTTCACCAGAAACAAAAAAATCACGAAGACAAACTCACACAAGAGCAAGAAGCCGTATCTCCGAGGAGCTATGTTTGTAGTAGCAGCGTAGCAGTATCAGCGTCCATCGTTTAGCCAGACGCAACCGGCCGTAGTCGAGAAAGTTGTCGCTGAGCACAGGCGACCTGGACCAAAGCAGTATCACTCCGGGACTGTACCAGGCGCCCCGGCACGCAAGGGCCGTAAGGGTTCAGGGTCGACCATGTTGCATCGAAGTGTCAGAGATGATCCGACGTTCTCGTGAGTTTAGACAGTTTTGGCCCAGACAGAGGAGAATCATGGTTTAGGGAGTCCAGATCTTGGTCCACTTGAATGGAGTTCCCGAAGTTACCTGATTCGCAACATTTCGCAACCATCAGGCTGATTCTTCCGGGCCTGGGGGTTCAGGCGAGAGAGCGGCTGAGAAGGGGACAAGGCGAAGCATCATATGCGAAAGTGTGGGCCTGTGAGTCTAAACGCCTTAGACTTGACACAGAAAGAACTAGTAGGATGTTTTCATGATGAACGCACCACCGGAACACAGCTGATGATGCTGCCATGACTGCTGCTTCTACTCCTCCGCCTACTACTACTACTACTACTACTACTACTACTACTACTACTACTACTACTACTACTGTTTCTTCTACTACTACTACTACAACTACTACTGCTGCTGCTGCTACTACTACTACTACTACTACTACTAC